ACAATCTTAATGGTCCACATGCTTATCTAACAGGCACTGCCAGTGGTTAAAGGAAATCTTCATAATTCAGGCATTCAAGCAGTTTCATGGAATAGCTAAACACCACAAACTGCAGTGGTCATTTTGACCTTTATACAGTTTTAAATCATCTTTTATTTTCTGTCACATTAACTTATTCCCATAAGGGACTATATTGGTTAAAGACTAGAAAGGTAATGATGAAATGCACTAAATAAATGAGGAATATACAAATATTTCTGCAAATAAATCTCAAAATGTTCCCCCAAAGTGACTTTTTTTTTTCCTCTTATCTCTTGAGTTGGAGTCTCACTGTCACCCAGGCTGGAGTGCAATGGCACACTCTCAGCCACCGCAGCCTCAGCCTTCCAAGTAGCTGGAACCGCAGACAGTGCCAACACGCCCGGCTAATTTTTGATCTATTATAGAGATGAGAACTTGCCAAGTTGCCCAAACTGGTCTCAAACTCCTGAGCTCAGGCAATCCTCTCTCCTTGGCCTCCCAAAGGTCTGGGATTACAGGCCCAAAGCCACATATTATATGATCATAATTACTACAAAGCACAGCAAAGTATTTCTACTACTTCAAAAACAATTTTAAAAAGAGGAAATGAGCATTGTATGTGAGCTGGTTTTTTAGTTACCGAAAAGAAAAAGCACTTAAAATGTTTGAAACGTGGTTTTTATTGCAAAGTGTGTAAACATAACCCTAAAACTTCACCCATAATCATTTAGATTTTTAAAGTACCAAATACAGCAAATCCAAATAGATCCTAATGGCAGTTTTCATAGATTTTTCTGTGCTGTTATATAAACAGATTTTAATATACATTGTCACAAAATACTACATTTACTTTTAAAGTGTTACCAAATTTTTTCTTTTATAACTAGACAGAGTACATCACTTGATAATGGGAAAAATCTAAATGTGTATATATTGTGAGACTGCACTGGAAAATAATCTTTACCACACCAATCTAGTGAAAACCATTTTAACTTAATCATTTAAAATAGCTCATGCAAAAAATGATATTTTTAAAGATGCCTAAAGATCTTCAGATGATCTATTATGAAATCGATATAGACTGAGTTCTTCCAAAACATCTGAACACCTATTATTTCAAAATTTTTGATCTATTTTAAATTATACAACATATTTGTGCAATATATTAAATTATTACACATTTGTGCAATATATTAAATTTAAAGTAGTATTTTGACTTTGAAATGTTAAAAAAGAAACTAAAAAAATACACTTTCTTCAACAGAAAAGATCTAAGGCACTGAGGCTATGTTTGGTATTAATCTATAGAGATTTTATGTGCTTTCAAGAAAACGACAAACAGTGCATTATTGCTTGAGGGCTCATCTTACCTACATTTTTCTATAGTAAGATCTCCTAAACTGACTTCTCACACAGAAAGGATTATGAACCTATCCTTAACATTGCTTATAAATTGGAAGCAAGAATACACTTAGTCCAAACTGAAAATCAAGTTTTCTAAAAAGCAGGTTAAAAAGTTATTTTTTAAGGCCAGGCACAGTGGCTCACACCTGTAATCCCAGCACTTTGGGACGCCTAGGTGGAAGAATCGCCTGAGTCCAGTAGTTGGAGACCAGCCTGGGCAACATAGGGAGACCTCATCATTACAAATAAATAAAAAATTAGCCGACTGTGGTGGCACATGAACTGTAATCCCTGCTACTTGGAAGGCTGAAGCGGAGGACTATCTGAGCCCAAGAGGTTGACGCTGCAGTGAGCCATGATCCTGCCAATGCACTACAGCTTGGGTAAGAGTAAGACACTGACTCAAAAAATAAAATAAAATAAAATAAAGAAAACTAAAACGTTATTTTTCAGTTAGCCCAAAAACAGTATGCTCACACCTCCCAACCACTACATTATTTTAATTATTCATTCAACAACTATACTAATATATTCCAAGTACTCTTATAAGCAAATGAGATACAAATCTCTTATCTGATCCTGATACATATTACATGCACTTGAGCCATCAACTCAACACTAAATTATTAATATTTAAACTCTTGCAACTTAGGTTTTATAAAGCCATTGGATAAAAATGTTTAAAAAACTTTTAAATTTGTCAATTATTTTGCTGATTTTTTTATATTCCTGTCACAAAATGTACACATCATGTACTGTTGACTCAGTTGGGCCATTAGTTAACTTTGAATGAATGAAAACTAAACTCGAGGTGTTTTCCCTCACAAGAGCCTCCGTCTGCTCAGGACTAAGTAAGCAAGCCTGTTATGGAGACAAATGAAAGGACAGACTGAAAGCGAGAAGCCATTTTGTTTTGTTCCTAAATTATTTTACTGTATTTTATTTTATTTTTTGAGTTGGAGTCTCACTCTGTCGCCCAGGTTAGAGTGCAGTGGCACACTCACTGCCACCCCAGCATCCACCTGCTGGGCTCCTGCGATCCTTCCTCCTCAGCCTTCCAAGTAGCTGAAACTACAAGCACGTGTTACCATGCCCGGCTAATTTTTTATTTTTATTGTAGAGACGAGCTCTTGCCAAGTTGCCCAGGTTGGCCAAGTTGCCCGGGCTGGTCTCGAAACCGCAGGCTCAGGCAATCCACTCACCTCCGCCTCCCAAAAATGCTGGGATTACAGGCTAAGCCACTGAGCCCCTAGTCAGTTACTAAATCTTAACACACTAAGGAGAAAGTAAAAGTTGTGTCCTGAAGGAATGCATACTTTAGATAAAGACTAATTAACTTTGCTGACTTTGTCATTTCAGAAACCCAGATCCCTCAAACATGACCAGTATCTGCCCATTGTAATCATAAAGCAGAGCCTTGCAGTTCCTCAAGGTCTACAAATCATCCACCCTGGGGAGGTATCAGTGCTTCTGGCCTTGATGTATTGTTAGTAGTTTATGTGACCAGCCTCCAGTCCACCACCTGGAGTCATGAGATACCGGGGCCTGGTGATGTCAAGACACAAGACTTGTGATTTCTGTTGCAACTTTAAACATTCTCCTTGATCAAAATGCTCTCCAAGAACTTTAAATATACCCAGTACCCCAGCCTTCAAGGCCACACTCAGATTGATGGCCCTCCTCCTGTCTGTGGGAAGTGATCTTTTCTTTTTCACTTCTTGGTGTGTTGCAAATCTTTGTGTTACTCCTATCTCTGATTACCAGCCCCCACCCCAGGCATGCTGGCTCCGATGATGCGGACCCTAACCCTAACAAAGATTTATAAATCGGCCAGGCAAGCTGGCTCAGTCTGTAATCCCAGCACTTTGAAAGGCCGAGGTGAGAGAACTGCCTGAGTCTGGGGGTTCGAGACTTCGTCTCTACAGTAAATCAAAATATACACCAGGTGTGGTAGCACACGCCTGTAGTTCCAGCTACTTGGAAGGCTGAGGCGGAAGGATCGCCGGAGTCCCGCAGGTGGAGGCCGCGGTGGCCATGAGCGTGCCACTGCACTCCAGCCTGGGCGGCAAAGTGAGACTCAAAAAATAATCATAATAAATAAAAGATATTTATAAATCTTCAACAAATCCTTATCAAGGAAATTAAGATGTGTGAAAAGTGTTCCTTCACCTCCTGTTTCTGCAAGAGCACCAATTTCTACCTTTAAGAAAAAAGACGGCTGCAGGAACGCACGCTTACTGAAGATTACCCAAATCCAGATTGGACACCCACTAACACCAAAAGATGGCCTCATCAAGGGTACCCCCCAAAAGAGCAACAGTTAGTTCCGCAGCCTCCCCATCGAAAACCACCGAAGACGAAGAGGTCTTTTTGAACCTGAGGACAGCGGCGACACTCCCCTTCCATTACCAGCTTTGTTCCTTTATGAATCAGGCAGACCATCACCTAGCCTCCTTACGAGACAAAAAATACTGAAAGAGCGCCCTAGTTCCAAGGAACTAATGTTGAGGCATCGAAGACCCAGCCCAGTCCCCACAATGACCGGCACACCAAAGCCCAGGATCCCTACCACTACCACCACCACCGCCCCACCCCCACCCCCATCGCCGCCATTCCTCGCTCTCCTAGCCAGGGAGGAGGCTCAGGTCCAAAACTCTCATACTGTTAGACAAGTGAGAAGGAGCCAGTTCTCCTCTCTCAGGCCTCTCCTCCACCCTAACGCTCCCCCAGGACCCCTTGCAAAGACGGCGAACCTCTTTATAAGCTTCCAACCCCCAGTAGCCCAGTCCCAGCCACACACAAGATGGCAGCTCCACACCTACCGGAGGAAACAGCTGCGCCACCACTCCGGAGATGCCGGCCTCTCGACTGCGGGTAATCCCATTGGCCCGTCCAAGGAGCGCGAGACAAGCCGAGAGCGTTGACAGCCAATCGGGAGGCGGCGCGCTCGGGCGCTGTTGCGGTGCCGGCGGTACGCGAGCCGGGTTTCTGAGGCGTGACCCGGTGGCGAGTGCGACCAATGGGCTGCCAGCCAGGTGGTGTGGCGTCCGCTGTTGTCCGACTCGTCCCCTTTAATGATGCCATTAGGTGGGCCTGGGCGTTAGACGCGCTTTCCCTCCTCCCCGGCCCTTGCGGTGCGGGAAGGCTGTTGCGGATTGAGGGTTAGTAAATGGTGAAGTACCTGGGGCTGCGGCGCTCGGCGGCTGGGCGTCGGAGGAAAGCCTCACCCACGGAGGAACCCGGGCTCGCCAGCGGAGCGAGCGGAGCGCAGCCGTCAGGTTTGGCGGGCTGCGTGGAAAACTCAGTGTTGCCAAGGCACCGCCGCGAGTGGGCCCCGACGGCTCCTCCGGCCAGGCTGTCGGAGGACCTGAAAACGGAGCCCTCCGCCGCGGGAGCAGGGGCCGCACCTTAGCTTTGCAGCCTCCCTTCTGCTTGCACCCACGTGCGGTCCCAGGTTGGAGAAGGGACCACGGGTGCACGGGTTCTCAACCCTCGTGGACACGGAGGCCTCTGTCTCCTGGTTGGTACGCACCCTAAGGAGAGGGGATTCCTAAGCAGCTGAGAACCTGAGGCTGTATAAGGGGCCGGAGGAAATGAACAGCAGTACAGAATCCAGAAGCAGAACCCTCAAGGTTTAGCCACTGACCCATTTCACAGGTAAGAGTACGCAAGTCCAAAATGCAGCAAGTGAAATAATTGATCCACGATCACGGAGTTGCGATTACATCCTAAGACTTGACTCCCATCAGCCACAGCCCAATAAGTAATTGCCCAGTAAGTAAATAAGGAACGGCATGTAATTAACTGCACGTGTGGAAACCTACAGCGAGTTCTGTATATACCAAAGAGGAGGAACTTGGAGGCAGCAGAGTGCAGTAGTCAAAACGGGCTCTGAAACCAGGCTGATTGGTTCCTTTTTTGCCACTTAACGTATGACATGCCTCAGCTTCCTCATCAGAAAAATGAGCATGCTCGTTTACCCCACATGATTGTTATGCGGATTAAATAAGAACACATGAAGTATTTAAAAGCGTGACACGCGTACTCAAATTTTTATTACGGTCGTCACAAAACATAAGGAGGGGAGAGACAATGGTCAGGGCATCTTAAGAGTCTTTTTTTTTTTTTTTGAGTTGGGAGTCTCACTCTGTCGCCCAGACTGGAGTGCAGTGGCCGCTCCCGGCCACCGCAGCCTCGACCTACCGTGCTCCGGCGATCCTTCCGCCTCAGCCTTCCAAGTAGCTGGAACTACAGGCGTGCGCTACCACGCCCGGCTCATTTTTGACTTATTGTAGAGATGAGGTCTCGCCAAGTTGCCCAGGCGGGTCTCGAACCCGCGGGCTCAGGCAATCCACTCACCTCAGCCTCCCAAAGGCGGCGGGATTACAGGCTGAGCCACGGAGCCCGGCTAGAGTCTTTTTTTTTTTTTTTTTTAAATAGAGGCAGGTCTCGCTGTGTTGCCCAGGCTGGTCTCGAACTCCTCGTCTTAAGCAATCCTCCCGCCTCATGGGCCGCCGCGCCTGCCAAGAGCCTGTTTTTAAACACGAGAAAGAACCATACACTGAAGCAAAGCAGGTTGAATTATTTTCTGCCAAAATGAAAAAGCGACAAGGGGGAGAAAAATCCCAGTTACTCTTTGAATTAGTAACACCTGTTGTCTCAAGATGAAATTGTGATTTAAATTTTCTTTATGCTTTATTGTATTTTGCAGATTTTCTTCAGTAGACATGTTTTACTTGTATAAGATCAATTATTTTCAAATTTTAGAAGGTGTGAACACTGGTGAGAGCTTTTTAAAAATAAAAGTATTACTGAATGTGCTTAATTGGAACCATAAATTGGTAGAAACTTTGTGAAAGGCAGTTTGGCAAATGCTATTGAAGGCTTTAAAATAAACAATTCCACTGAAAATTGAAATATACTTAACTTTTAAAATTAAGTGCACTTTACATTACTTTTTCCTTTCTACAAAATTAGAACCTTACAGAAAAAGAGCATAATCAGGATCCCTGTATGTCCCCTTGATCCTGCTCCGCCTTCCCTTCACCCTAACTTTGGTACAGAACCTACAAGTCTTTTTTTATAATGCTTTTTAAAGCTGTTATATAGTCTCTATAGGGGCATGTATGCATTTGTAAATTTTCAATGAAAATAATATTCCGTAGCTTTATTTCTTCACTTGACGATGTTTTTGCAGTGTACTCATGTTGTTAGTGATAGCTCATTATGGTATTTATGAATTTCTTTTATTTTTATTTCATGTTATTTTGTTTTGCCTTTTTTGAGTCAGAGTCTCACTCCTGTCACCCAGGCTGGAGTGCAGTGGCATGCCCATGACCACCGCAGCCTCCACCTGCTGGGATCAGGTGATTCTTCTGCCTCAGCCTTCCAAGTAACTGGAACTACAGGCATGTGCCTCCACGCCTGATAATTTTTGACTTAATATAGAGATAAGGCCTCATCAAGTTGCCCAGGATGGTCTCGAACCCGTGGGCTCAGGCAGTCCTCTCGCCGCGGCCTCACAAAGTGCTGGGATTATCTGTGTGAGCCACCACACCCAGCTTGGATTTCTTTAGCTGCAACATAATGTTCCAGTGTATGACTGTATCATTCTGTTAATGTAAACTATTTCTCTTTGTCTCTTTTATTGGTTTCCCTATTAAATCCTATTTTGTTTATATGTGCTGTATAGCACATTTTATTTGTCATTTTCCTCTTGATAGACGTTAGATTTTTTTTGTGTTTTTGTTTTGTTTTGTTTTGTTTTGTTTTGAGTGGGAGTCTCACTCCATCACCCAGACTGGAGGGCAGTGGCACACTCCTGGCCACCGCAGCCTCAACCTGCTGGGCTCCGGCGATCCTCCCGCCTCAGCCTTCCAAGTAGCCAGAACTACAGGTGCGCGCTACTGCGCCTGGCTGATTTTTGATTTATTGTAGAGATGAGGTCTCGCCAAGTTGCCCGGGTGGGTCTCGAACCAACAGCCTCAGGCAGTCTACTCGCCTTGGCCTCCCAAAGTGCTGGAATTACAGGTTGAGCCACCGAGCCCTGTCGATGTTAGGTTTTTGTTTCGTTTTGTTTTGTTTTTCCAGTTTTTCATCTTACAAGCAATGCTGCAAGGAAAATATTTTTGTTTTCTTGTGCACATGTTTAATTTCTCAAGGATGTATACCTAAAAGTGGAATTGCTTGGTTTTAAGTTTTTAAAATTTTGAGTTTTAATAGATTACTCTAAATTTGTCTCCAAAAACCTTTACTAATTTATACATCCCACAAGTAGTTTATGACAATTCATTTTCCCTACAGTTTAGACCACCATATTGTCTTCTTCATCTTTGCCCATCTGATGGCTGAAAATAGTAATTTTTTTTTTTTGAGTCGGTGTCTCACTCTGTCACCCAGGCTGGAGTGCAGTGGCATTCTCACAGCCATTGCAGCCTTGACCTACTGGGCTCAGGCAATCCTTCCGCTTCAGCCTTCCACGTAGTTGGAACCACAGGCATGTGCCACCTTGCCCAGCTGATTTTTTTGATTTGTTGTAGAAATGATTTCTATCCATGTTCCTCAAGCTGATCTTGAACCCCTGAGCTCAGGTAATCCTCTTGCCTACACCTCCCAAAGTTGCTAGTATTACAGGCATGAGCCATGCTCCTTCTATAAAACTTATTTTAATTTTCATTTTATGATTTAATGTTGGAGTATCTATTTATATAGTTATTAACCTATAATTTCTTTAAATTTCTGTAATTTCCTTTTTTAGGAAAACTTTTTGTACTGGGTTATCCTTTTCTTGAAGATGATTTATGGAGGTCTTTATATGTCCTGGTTACTATGTATCCTATATAATTTTTAAAATCTCTTCAGTGTCTATGGTTAATTATGCTTCCTTATCGCTGCTATTGCTAAAGTATGTTGCAAACATTTTCTCTCAACTTCTTGCTTGGTTTTTGATTTTTTGTTAGTTTTATTTATTTGTTCAACAGATAGATTTTTCTCTTCTTCCAATCTTGAGGTCTCTTTTTATTCTTACTGCATTCCTCTAAGGTTTCCAGTACAAAATTGAATGTGAGCAGTGATAGCAAGTGCCTTCATCCTGTTCTTGACTAATGAAAATGCTACTATATTTCATCATGAGTATAGTGTTTGCTGCTGGGTTTTGGTAGATAGTCTCTATCGCGTTCAGGAAGTTCTCTTTCATTCCTAGTTTGCCAAGGGTCCCTGTAACTCTCCACAGAATAATTACTAACTTTTACTGAATTATTTTGTTCTTCTGCATGAGGTGGTAGTTTTTCTCCATTCATCTGTTTTTGTTTGTTTTTTGGAGTCAGGTTCTCACCCTGTCACTAGAGTGCAGTGGCACACTCACAACTCACTACCGCTTTAATCTCCTCAGGTGATCCTTTGCTCAACCCCCCTCTACCCCTCCTGGGACTACAGGCAGGCCCCACCACACCCAGCTAATATTTTTGCTTTTTTTTTTTTTTTGGTAAAGCTGAGATTTCGCTATGTTGCTCAGGCTGGTCTCAAACTTCTGAGCTCAAGTACAGCTCCCACCTCGGCCTCTCAAAGTGCTGGGGTTATAGGCAGTGAGCTACTGCCTCCAACCAGTATTTTTATATCTATACTCAGAGTGATTTTGGCCTTTAGTTTTCTGTGTATGTGCCAAGGTTATGCTGATCTCATAAAAAGAGTTGAGTAGCTTCCCAGATTCTTCATGCTTTAGAACAGTTTGTATATGATAGATATTATTCATTCCTTGAAAGTTTTGTACTATTCATCTTTGAAACTTTATGGACTTCATATGCAGCGATGGGGATGTGTGGTATGCAGCTCTGGTAAGATCTTTATAGTTTTAGTTTCTTTTTATGCTTACTTTTTGGACTTTTCTTTCTTGAGCCTACGTGGTAGTTTTTATGTCCTAGAAAATTGTTCATCTATGCTTTCAAATTTATTGGTATAAAATTATTTGAACCTTAAAAATATTTTAAAATATTTTCAGTAGCTGTCGATATATCTTTTACTTGTTATTATTTTGTTGATCTTTTCCCAGCTTCTTTAATTTAAGTCAATATTTTCAATTTTCCAATGAATAAAATTCATTTAAGATTTAAATATTGCTGGATGCAGTGGCTCACGCCTATAATCCCAGCACTTTGGGAGGCCAAGGTGAGAGGATTACCTGAGCCCACGAATTCTAGACCAGCCTGGGCAACTTGGTGAGACCTCATCTCTACAATAAATCAAAAAATTAGCCAGGCATGGTAGCACACACCTGTAGTTCCAGCTACTCAGAATACTGAGGTGGAAGGATCACTTGAGCCTAGCAGGTTGAGGCTGTGATGGCCGTGAGTGTGCCATTGCCCTCCAGCCAAGGAAACAGAGTGAGACTCTGACTCAAAAAAAAAAAATTTAATATTTCTCTGCATGTGCTTTGGCAAAATCCATCAGGTTTTTTAATGTATTATTTCAACTGATCACTTTCCAAATATCTTAAAATTTCTACTTTGATTTCTTTTGCAAACCATAAATTATTTAGAAATTGGCTTTTTACTTTTCCACAGGTAATGTGTGGTGGGAGGTTAATTCATAATGTCGTTCAATTGGGCTTTTATTACATTCAGTGACTGTGCTCTGTATAACATAAATCCTTTGGAATTTGTTGAGAATTCCTTTAGATCTAGTACACAGTGAATTTTTGTAAATTTTATGCTTTTTCCTCCACAAAAAGTATTTTCTATTGGGTGCAAAGCTCTACACATTTGTTAGAGTAAGTTTGTTAATTTATCTGTCACATAAATTTTTTATATTTTGATTTTTTTCACAGTTTATGTCATTTCTGAGAAAGATCTGTTACTTTCCCAACAAATCTTGGATTTGGACCTTTTACTTGTATTTAAGTTCTGCTTTATATATTTCATAGTGATATTATTTGTTCATAAAAGTTCATGAATATTAAATCTGGGTGAATTGTTCTGACAGTATAAAATATTTTTCTCTGACTTGTATTTACTTTTATATTAAATTCTTGTTTGAGATGAATGTTTCTTGTATTTGCAGGTGTCTTTTTTTAGTTCCTTCATTTTTAACCTTCTGTAACATTTGTGTGATTTAAGTGGGTCTCTTACTTAAAAATATCATAGCTAAATTTTGCATGTAATCCAATCTGAGAGTGTATCCTTTAGGTGAGGTAAGCAAATTCACCTTAATTGTGATTATTAACATATTTGGTCTTATTCTTATCATCTGATTTACTGTGCTTCTCTTTGTATCTGTCATTCTTATTTGTCTATTTTCACTTTCACTTTTAGCCTCAAGTATTTTTTTGTTCCGTTTTCTTTTAGTAAATTTTTATATTTCACTACAGTTCTAAATTTGTTTTTCTAACAAAATAAATATTGAATCAGTATTGATATCTTCCCTATACAGAAGATGTATAGCATGCTTCTTTACTTTCTCTGGTCTTGCAACAATGCCTTCCATCACCTCTCCAAGAAAGAACATTATCTCTCATGGTGGTATCTTACAGCATTTTTTTTTCATTTGTTATTGAAGTTCATCTTAATCTGTGCTTTCTTAACAATGTGTTTAGCTTATGTATTTGCTCACTACTGCTTTCTTCTAGGTTCATTTGTCCTCATAGGGTGCTTCCTTATTTCTTTCAAAGAGTCTCTAAAGTGGCTCTTTGTGTATAAAAGTCTTTTTTCCCAGTCTCAGTATTGAAAGATAGCTTGGCTGGATATAGAATTCAGGGTTTATACTTATTTTCCTTTAACATTATGCATCTGACATTTCTGATGAGAAGTCTCATTACTAGTCTGATACATTTCCTTTTTAGTAATCTAGATTTTCTGGAAGCATCTGAGACTTTGCATTTTTGCTATGCTGAAGTTTGCCACAGTTTGTCTAGTGGTATATATTAAGAATTTTATCCTAGTTGGCACTCAGTGGATGCAGTGGGTGTTTGTGTTTTCCAGTTCTGAGAAATTTGGGGTTATTATTGCCTCATCCCTATTCTCCCTTTTTTATGCTTTCTTTTCTTTCTTTGCTCTGTGTTCAACTCAGACTTCTAGCTTGCCAGCAGGCTCTTCATTTGAGTCTGCTCTATTATTCATTCAGTCATCTATTGAGTTTATTTTAACAACTATTTTTATATCAAAGATACCTAACTATTTTTATATCTAAGATACCTAACTGGTTATTTTTCCAAAAGGATGAGGTTTCCTTCTTTAACTCAGTCTCTTTCATGGTGTAGCCTTTTGCAAATGTTTGCACGAGCCTCTTGGTTGGTGTGTTCATCTTCTCTGAGAGGATTTCTTCCCGTCCATTTGCTGCTGTGATTGTGGTTGACATCATCTCTGCAGCTTCTGGTCTGCTTGCTTTCCCCAGAGGCCTCACACACTTGGCCCATAGAGAGCTCCCTTTGTGTTTTCAACCTCTCACACCTATAATCCCAGCACTTTGGGAGGCCCAGGTGAGAGAATTGACTGAGTCTAGGGATTTGAGACCAACCTGGGCAACTTGACTAGACCTCATCTCTACAATAAATCAAAAAATTAACCGGGTGTGGTGACACGTGCCTGTAGTTCTAGCTACTTGGAAGACTGAGGCGGAAGGATCACCTGCGCCCAGCAGGTCAAGGCTACGATGGCTGGGAGTGTGCCATTGCATTCCAGCCTGGGCAACAGAATAAGACTCCAACTCAAAAAAATAAAAGTAAAAATAAAAAATATTCTAGGCCAGGCTCGGTGGCTCAAGCCTGTAATCCCAACACTCTGGGAGGCCAAGGCGAGAGGATTGCCTAAACTCAGAAGTTCAAGACCAACCTGGGCAAATTGGTCGGACCTTGTCTCTACAATAAATCAAAAAATAAGCTGGACATGGTAGCGCGTACCTGTGGATCCAATTACTTGGAAGACTGAGGTGGAAGGATCACCTGAGCCTGGCAGGTCAAGGCCACGATAGCTGTGAGCATGCCACTGCACTGCAGCCTGGGTGACAGAGTAAGACTCCAACTCAAAAAAAAAAAATCAAAGAAATTCCAAAAGAAAAGAAAAATTTCGAACATTTCTACAGGTTTGGTGTGGAAGTGGCATATATTGACTGACATCTTGAGAATGAAAATTGTTGATCTCTTTTCGACCTATTTGTTCTGCTTCTAGGTGTATCTCCTAAGGAAATAATCAGAGACATGGATGAAGTATATTATTCTGGAATTATTTATTATGCTGAAACTTAATCTAAAAAATAAGAATCTAGGCTGGACGCAGTGCTCAACCTGTAATCCCAGCACTTTGGAAGGCCGAGGCAAGAGGATTGCCAGAGCCTGGGTTGAGACTAGCCTGGGCAACTTGGTGAGACCTTGTTTCTACAGTAAATCACAAAAAATCTAGCTGAGGATGGTGGCGTGCATCTGTATTTTCAACTACTTGGAAGGCTAAAGTGAAAGGATCGCCTTAAGCCCATCAGGTCAAGGCTGCGGTGGCCATGAGCATGCCACTACACTCCAGCCTGGACTACAAGAGTGAGACTCCAACTCAAAAAATAAAAATAAAAATCTAAACGTCCAATATAGAAGTTTATACTGCTAATTAATACTTCATTAAAATTTAATTATTAAAACCATTATAGTAATGCATGTATTATTGACCAAAGTGCATTATGCAGCCACTTAGTCTTATACAAAAATACTGATGATGGAGGACAGCTTACTAATGAAAGCTTATAAAAAAATAAATACCTAAAATACAACTTTTATTTTAAAATTGTATGCTAAAAGAGTAATCATAATTGCTAGTATTTATTGAATCTTTTATTTGTCAGGCACTATTATAAGTGATTAAGTCTTCACAACAACCTATGAGGTAGTTAGCATTATTATTCTCATTTTTAAAGTTTTTATGAAATACTTATAAAATGAGGATAAGCTGGGCTCAGTGGCTCAGCCTGTAATCTCGCGCCTTTGGGAAGCTGAGGTGAGTGGATTACCTGAGCCCGCGGGTTCGTGACCCGCCTGGGCAACTTGGTGAGGCCTCATCTCTAGAATAAATCAAAAATTAGCCAGGCGTAGTAGCATGCACCTGTAGTGCCAGCTACTCGGAAGGCTGAGGCGGAAGGATCGCCGGAGCCCAGCAGGTCGAGGCTGCGGTGGCCGGGAGCGACCACTGCACTCCAGTCTGGGCGACAGAGTGAGACTCCAACTCAAAAAAAAAAAAAAATGAGGATAGTTGAGTTGTTCGTTAACAATATGTAATGTAAATGTCAATTAACAAATATGTTATATATGGTTAATAGGATTCTGGGTGAGTCTTCTCTGTGATATTCCTAACTTTCTATTTCACTCGTTTTTTTTTCCAGATCACATGTATTCTTTTCGTAATGGTTCATGATATTTAAAAAGATAGGGCTGTTGTTATAACAATCTTTTTTCCTTACATATGTTGTTCTTTACAAATATACACTATTCTTTATTGTTTTCCTTACAGAATGTTTCATACATTTGTGGACCAAAGATGGAGTTGGTTTTCATTTTTAAAAAATGCTGTCAATGATCTGATACGACGATAAATATTTACTTGATGAAGATGCATGGACTTGTCTTTTGGTTGGACTATTGGTCATTTCTGAATATTTCTTCAATCACAGTTTATATTTGAAATCAAGTATCAAAGGATACCAGGTTTAGAATGATATAATTATATGTTTTGTCTGAGGACTATAAATTCCACAGAGACCACAACTGGATTTCAGTGATATTCTACAATCAAAGTGATTCATATCATTCAGTCCTATGATAAACCAAATTGTGAAGCATTTTATATTTATAAACAACATCAAAAGATGGGAGAAAAAAATGGTAGGTTGAAGAACACATTGTTACACTTTATGTTTAAAAATTTTAAAGTACATAGGGTAAGCTGAATTGTGGCATTCTCAAGTTTTTTCCACTGCAAAGAACTTTTCTGAACTACAGGGAGTTAAGGGCTTATTCTCATGTAGCCACCAGTTTTGACTGTCTTTTTAACTAATTGTGAATCAGCAATCCTAAATCAGTACTTTGATGTACTTTTTTAAAAATAAGCTTTATTTTTCAGAAAACTTTTAGTGTTAGAGAAAAATGCAGAGTTCTGATATACCTAGTACCCAGGTTCACCTATGATTAACATCTTACATTTGAATGGTACATTTGTTACAATTAATGAACCAATATTGACAAATTATCATTAATTGAATCCTTTAGTTTATTCATATATTTTTTTTTTGGGTTGAGTCAGAGTCAGGCTGAAGTGCTAGAGTGTAGTGGCATGCTCCCTGCTACCGCAACCTCAACCTGCTGGGCTCAGGCGATCCTTCTGCCTCAGCCTTCCAAGTAGCTGGCCACAGGCATGTACTACCACAGCCAGCTAATATTTTTATTTATTGTAGAGACAAGGTCAGCCATGTTGCTCAAGCTGGTCTCGAACCCCTGAGCTCAGGCAATCCTCTCGCCTCCACCTCCCAAAGTGCTAGGATTACAGGCATGAGCCATCACGCCCAGCTTGATTTCCTTAGTTTTTGTTTTGTTTTGTTTGTGTCGGAGTCTCACTCTGTCACCCAGGCTGGAGTGTAGTGGCATTCTCACAGCCACTGCACCCTTGACCTGCTGGGCTCAGGCCATCCTTCTGCCTCAGCCTTCCAGGTAGCTGGAACTACAGGCACACACAACCACGCCCAACTACTTTTTTGATTTATTGTAGAGATGAGGTCTCGCCAAGTGCCCAGACTGGTCTCGAACCTATGGCTCAGGTAATCCTCTCTCCTCAACCTCCCAAAGTACTGGAATTGTAGGTGTGAGCCACCATACCTGGCCAGCTTTGTTTTCTTAAATTTTATTGGCAGTGTCCTTTTTATTAATCAGTTCTAAGACTAAACATTTATTCTGCTTGTTTTTAAATAATTCATCTTAAATATTTCCTATTAAATAACCACACAACAATTTTCAGTGATAGTCACTGAAAAAATTCAATAAATCCTGATTGCTGTCTTTTAGCATCATTTTTTTCCCTCAGTCTAGGACAGTTATGTGTGAATTTTTTTTTTTTTTGAGTTGGAGTCTCACTCTGTCACCCAGACTGGAGTGCAGTGGCCGCTCCCGGCCACTGCAGCCTCGACCTGCTGGGCTCCGGTGATCCTTCCACCTCAGCCTTCTGAGTAGCTGGAATTACAGGCATGCGCTACCATGCCCGGCTGATTTTTTTGATTTATTGTAGAGATGAGGTCTCGCCAAGTGCCCAGACTGGTCTCGAACCTATGGCTCAGGTAATCCTCTCTCCTCAACCTCCCAAAGTACTGGAATTGTAGGTGTGAGCCACCATACCTGGCCAGCTTTGTTTTCTTAAATTTTATTGGCAGTGTCCTTTTTATTAATCAGTTCTAAGACTAAACATTTATTCTGCTTGTTTTTAAATAATTCATCTTAAATATTTCCTATTAAATAACCACACAACAATTTTCAGTGATAGTCACTGAAAAAATTCAATAAATCCTGATTGCTGTCTTTTAGCATCATTTTTTTCCCTCAGTCTAGGACAGTTATGTGTGAATTTTTTTTTTTTTTGAGTTGGAGTCTCACTCTGTCACCCAGACTGGAGTGCAGTGGCCGCTCCCGGCCACTGCAGCCTCGACCTGCTGGGCTCCGGTGATCCTTCCACCTCAGCCTTCTGAGTAGCTGGAATTACAGGCATGCGCTACCATGCCCGGCTGATTTTTTTGATTTATTGTAGAGATGAGGTCTCGCCAAGTGCCCAGACTGGTCTCGAACCTATGGCTCAGGTAATCCTCTCTCCTCAACCTCCCAAAGTACTGGAATTGTAGGTGTGAGCCACCATACCTGGCCAGCTTTGTTTTCTTAAATTTTATTGGCAGTGTCCTTTTTATTAATCAGTTCTAAGACTAAACATTTATTCTGCTTGTTTTTAAATAATTCATCTTAAATATTTCCTATTAAATAACCACACAACAATTTTCAGTGATAGTCACTGAAAAAATTCAATAAATCCTGATTGCTGTCTTTTAGCATCATTTTTTTCCCTCAGTCTAGGACAGTTATGTGTGAATTTTTTTTTTTTTTGAGTTGGAGTCTCACTCTGTCACCCAGACTGGAGTGCAGTGGCCGCTCCCGGCCACTGCAGCCTCGACCTGCTGGGCTCCGGTGATCCTTCCACCTCAGCCTTCTGAGTAGCTGGAATTACAGGCATGCGCTACCATGCCCGGCTGATTTTTTTGATTTATTGTAGAGATGAGGTCTCGCCTGCCCAGGCGGGTCTCGAACCCACAGGCTCAGGCAATCCACTCACCTCAGCCTCCCAAAGGTGCGGGATTATAGGCTGAGCCACTGAGCCCGGCATGCGTGAATATTTTAATGCTACCAGAAGCTATTTTTAAAAATAGTTTCAAAATCCTTCCAATCTTGATGTCTATTTCTAATAAAGATAAATTCCTAGTAAGGGATATTGACTCATCTATGAAAGGAAACATAATGACAATAATCCATTAAGTGCTTTGAAAAATAATTTTGGGCCAGGCACAGTGGTTCATGCCTATAATCCCAGCACTTTGGGAGGCCGAGGTGAGAGGATTGCCTGAGCCCCTGGGTTCGAGACCAGCCTGGGCAACATGATGAGACCTTATCTCTATAATAAATCAAAAATTAGCTGGGCATGGTGGCATGTGCCTGTGGTTCCAGCTATTTGGAAGACTGAAGCAAAAGGATTGCCTGAGCACTGCAGGTCGAGGCTGCGGTGGCCGTAAGTGTGCCACTGCACTCCAACCTGGGCAATAGACTGAAACTTCGACTCAAGAAACAAAATTCCACGATGAAAGATTAATTTTTTTGCCTATATTTCCTGTTAAATTATTTATGGTAATTTCTTGCCAACTGCTACAGGCTTATCTACCCATCAGCTCTAGGAAGTAGGTGGCTACTATTATTCTCATTTTACAGATGTGTTCACACAGCTAATAAGTGACTGTACTGAGATTCAAACTCAAATACACCTGAACTCCAAAACCCAGATTGTTAATCACCACAGATCCATTCTTCCCTTGACTCCGGAGATACTATTCTCTGGCGTTCCCTTCCACCTTCTCAGTATCTATGGTTCCTTTTCCTCGTATTCATCCCTTGCAGGTTGATGTTCTCCAGAGTTTGTTCTCCCCAAGGAATCACATCTGCTCTGTGGTTTCAGTAAGCATTTGTGTGCTGATGCCTCCAAAATGTGTATTTCTGAACCAGAGCTTACTCTCTGAAGCCTGTTTATCCAGTTTGCTCAATGAGCCCCTACCTACTTGAATTTTCTACCTGTCTCTTTATCTCTATTCCATTACCCTCCATAGGTTGCCTGAGGCAGGTAAATGGAAATCATTCTTGACTACTCCTACTGCTACCTGAGTGATCTTTCTGAGAAAGGTATCTAATGGCATCATAAGATGCTTACACCTCTTGAGTAGCTTTCCATATAAAAGTAAAGCTGCTTGGCATGGTGCACAAGGCTCTCCATGTTATGTCTTCTACTTGCCTTTTGAAGCACCAATTCTCATTCATTTTGTCCTCTCACATTGCATTTGTTTCACATCTTGAATCCTTGTCTGAACTGAGTTATGTAGAATTTAAAGTAAGCTTCATCTTATGTAGTATACATGGGCTCAGAGTATTAACAGGGAAACAGCACCCCTCCTGCAGCCACTGCATTGACAGCAGCTCTAAATAACCAGAGGTCCCCTTTGGGTAAGGAGACCTCAGCAGTAGTTGGGCGCTGATGTCTAAGCCTCTTTCCTTATGAAGGTTCTCCAAACTCAGAGGTTCTGGGTTTAATTTTTATTAAGGAAATGTATTTTTTGCAAACTATCTGGGCTCTCTGCCCATTAATCCTCCTCCAGCCTACGCAAGTGGCCTTCTAAAATGCAATACTCTTATGTCTCTTCTTTGCTTGAGGACCTATTAATTAATTTTATACATTATGCATTTTGACATTTTTTTAAACAGGTCATGCTTAACATTTTAGGTTTTGGTTTTTTTGTTTTTTGGGGTTTTTTTGAGTCAGAGTCTTACTCTGATGCCCAGGCTAGAGTGCAGTGGCGTGCTCACAGCCACTGCAGCCTCAACCTTCTAGGCTCAGGTAATCCTTCTGCCTCAGCCTTCCATGTAGCTGGAACTACAGACGCACTACCACGCCTGACTCATTTTTTTATTTATTGTAGAGACGAGATGATCTCGCCAAGTTGCCCAGGCTAGTCACAGACCCCTGGACTCAGGCAGTCCTCTCGCCTCAATCTCCCAAAGTGCTGGGATCGCAGGCTGAGCCACCGAGCCCGGCTCATTTTTGTTATTTTTAAACACAGTGTGTAAGATTTGGCTTTTCTTTACTTGTACAATGGCCACTTATATACCTAATCCTGAATTATACCTCACATCTTTTTTTTTTTTCCCCCCCGAGTCAGAGTCTCACTCTATCACCCAGGCTGGAGTATAGTGACACACTCCCGGCCACTGCAGCTTCAACCTGCTGGGCCCAGGCGATCCTTCCACCTCAGCCTTCCAAGTAGCCAGAACTACAGGCGCTTGCTATCACACCCGGCTAATTTTTTTGAATTATTGTAGAGACGAGGTCTCATCATGTTGCCCAGCCTGGTCTCGAACCTGCAGGCTCAGGCAGTCCTCTCACCTCAGCCTCCCATGTATCCCACATCTTTAAAATAAAAAAAGATTTGGCTTTTGCCAAATTCGTCTAATTGCCTTTTTCATATTTCTCTTTTCAATTTTGAAGTAATTCTTTTTTTCTGAGTCGGAGTCTCACTGTCAATCAGGCTGGAGTGCAGTGGCATTCTCACAGCCATCGCCGCCTCAGCCTGCTGGGCTTAGGTAATCCTTCCACCTCAGCCTTCCAAGTAGCTGGAACTACAGACAGACGCCACTTCGTCCATCTAATTTTTTGATTTATTGTAGAGACGAGGTCTTGCCAAGTTGCCCAGGCTGATCTCAAACCCATAGCCATAGGCAATCCTCTCACCTTGGCCTCCCAAAGTGTTGGGTTTATAGGCATGAGCCACTGCACCTGGCCAAAAAAATTATTTAGGAAAATTTTAATTAGGATGTTAGTATGCTGGCCATCAGAAATGTTGGCTCATTTACATAACTTTAGCTGGAAATACCTTAAACATTATTTCATGTCATATAACTAAACTTAATGTAACAGACTGTAAAAGGCAGTATTGTTGGACACTTAGTTATGTCAGCGACCATTGAGATGTTTCATTCTGAAACCATGCTCAGTGGAGGTTATATCTCTAAAGACTTAAAAAAGAATGCACATATAGGTATATGTATGCCCCACTATCACTCAAATGAAGTCATTCCTTTTGCTTTCTAGTCAAGAAATAGTGTCACTAAAGTTTTCAGTATGTATATTTTTAAATTAACAAAAATAAATGAGATCATATTCTTTGTTTCTAGTTCTTTGTAAGGAAATCTTATAAAATATTTTTCCTCAAGGAAAGTGATAGACCAATTGAATCTTGATTTTATTTAGAGACCAAGTAGATTTTTCTGTAACATTTGTCTTAGGGAAATTGCAGTCTTTTTCTGTTTAACTCTTAGGCTATTTCCATATGTTTATTTTAGGTGATGCAAAAACTTTCTGGATGGAACTAGAAGATGATGGAAAAGTGGACTTCATATTTGAACAAGTACAAAATGTACTGCAGTCACTGAAACAAAAGATCAAAGATAGATCTGCAACAAATAAAGGTATGAAATAATAAAAACCTTGACAGTGTTTAGTACTAAATATTTCTGGCAATACAGTATAATTCTGCTTCCAATATTTGTAAAGGTAGGTGAATATGATCACTTGTGGATAATAGCCACTAAATTTATTTATTCTTATCTCAGCTATTTTTTCCCCTCGTTTTATCTTTTTTTACCTTTGTGTCTTTTTTGTGGAGGAGAAGGGGAATGTTGCAAAAGTAATATCTGCTTATTTTACAACATTTGGTACTCATAGGAAAATATAACAAAAATTATTCACTACCACACATTCAGAGGCAACCAGTTTTTTTGTAGGTACATATAAAAAGAATGAATCACTTTATTTTGCCTACTTGAAATACAATGTACTCTACTAGTCTTCTGAAAGACTTTATTTATTTATTTATTTTTTGAGTTGGAGTCTCACACTTGTCTCCCAGGCTGGAGTGCAGTGGCACGCTCATGGCCACTGCAACCTTGACTTGCTGGGCTCAGGCGATCCTTCCGCCTCAGCCTTCGAAGGAGCTGGAACTACAGGTGCACACCACCATGCCCAGCTAGTTTTTGTGATTTATTGTAGAGACAAGGTCTCACCAGGTTGTCCAGTCTGGTCTTCAACCCCCGGGCTCAGGCAATCCTCTCGCCTTGGCCTCTCAAAGTGCTGGGATTACAGGCTGAGCCACTGCGCCCTGCCAAACATAAGACTTTAATGTGGCATTCTCTTTCATTTCATCAGGACATATATGGGGTTTTTTTGAGTTACCATCTCACTGTGTCATCCAGGCTGGAGTGCAGTGGCACCACAACCTCAACCTGCTGGGCTCAGGTGATTCTTCTGTCTCAGCCTTCCAAGTAGCTGGAACTACAGGCACGCGCCACCATGCCCAGCTAATTTTTTGATTTATTGTCGAGATGAGGTCTTGCCAAGTTGCCCAGGCTGGTTTCAAACCCGGGACTCAAGCAATCCTCTCACCTCGGCCTCCCAAATTGTTGGGATTATAGGCATGAGCCATCACGCCCAGCCCATATATGGTTTTAAAGCAAGATTTTTTTCCCCCAGACTATTCTTAATTCTTTCTCATGTTCTTATGGTATTGTGTATTTGTCAAAAAATTGGGACCATTATTTTATTTTATCTATTTATATATTTTTTTGATTTTTGATTCTTGATTTTTTTTTTGCATCGGACTCTCACTGTTGCCCAGGCTAGAGTGCAGTGACACACTGCTGGCCACTGCAGTCTTGACCTGCTGGGCTTAGGTGATCCTTCCACCTCAGCCTTCCAAGTAGCTGGAACCACATGTGCACCACCATGCCCAGCTAATTTTTTGATTTTCTGTAGAGACGAGGTCTCTCCAAGTTGCCCAGTCTGGTCTTGAACCCCTGGAATCAGTCAGGTAATCCTCTTGCCTCCGCCTCTCAAAGTGCTGAGATTACAGGTGAGCCACTGCACCCGACTGTTTTTCATCTTACTGTTCCTTCTCAATCCTTCATGAGTCAGATATATCTAGGTTTAAAGCCAGTTCTACTACTTCCTAGCTGAATGTTCTGGAATAAACAGCTTTACCACTGAGCTTCAGCTTTTTTATCTCTAATGCAGATAGTCATAATTATTCAGAGAAGTAGTGAAGATTAAGTGAAATAAACTAAAACTATGTATATCATTTAGTATAGTAGCTAGCATAAAGATGATGGTGATGCTGACTATTTTTTTTTTCTTCACAGAATACGTACAAGCAATGATTCTAGTGAATGAAGCAACTATAGGTAACAATTCACATCAACAATTGATAAAGGGTATGTATGTACATCTCTAATCCCAATCTTGAGTATTCTCTGGTATTTTCTTGCCATGAAGCAGGACAGCCTTAATATGTCAGGTTAATTAAAGCTAATTTAAAATAAAATGTAAGATACACTTTTCTAAGTTAAATCAATCAAAGTTTCCCCTATTAAATGAATAGTCCTAATCATCCGGAGATAGGAAATGCATGCCTAACTAAGCGTCCTAGGGAAAGAAACAAATGTGTGTCTTCTTCAAGAATACCTTCTCATAGAAAGAGGGCAGATAGAATCCTAAGACTTTAAACCACTATAAACTGACTTTCTATGAAGAACACTACCAAAAAGGTATATTCTGGGATAGAAAAGTTGGTGAATAAATTTTTCATTTTTAGATTTTTTTTTTTTGAGTCAGAGTTTACTGTTTCCCAGGCTGGAGTGCAGTGGCAGGCTCACAGCTACTACAGCCTTAAGCTACTGGGCTCAGGTGATCCTTCTGCCTCATCCTTCCAAGTAGCTGGAACTACAGGTGTGGGCCATCACACCCAGCTATCTAGATTGTTTTTAGACCATCATCAGTCTTCCAGGCTCTAAACAAACTTAGTTTAGAAGGATCAAAGATAATGTACTAAAGCAAAAGTTTTTTCTCCACTCATAACACTTTTAAAACCAAACGTGTGGGTTCTTCAAACTAAGCAATTGGTTGAAGAAATTTCTGTGAAGCAATTTTCTGTGAATACCAAAGGGATGTCCTACAATTTATTTTCCTTCTGACACCTGCTACCTAGAGTTAGCACAGATCCCACAGATTAAAGGCTCAGTTCCACAGATTTCCTCCCCACTTCAGAATCCAATCACAATCCCTGGGCCTCCCATGCTTCTGACTGGCTTCCCACAACCTCCTCCTCTGTTTCTGTAGTTTGCCATAATGGCTTTCAAACTTTAGGGTAGCACTTTACTTATAGTTACCAGTTTATTATAAATAATACACATGAATAGCCAGATGAAGACGTACATAGGGAGAAGTCTAGAAGGGTCCTGAGTGCAGGAGCTTGTATCCCTGTGGAATTTTTGGGTGTACCACCCTCCTAGCATGTGGATGTATCCACCAACTTGAAAGTTCTTAGAACCCCGACTTGTAGAAAGGTCTTATGGCAATTTCATTACATAGGCATGATTGATTAAATCACTTGGTGATTAGCTCAATCTCCTGTCCCTCTCCCTTCCTTGGAGATGGGGGTAGAGAGGGTAAGGATGAAAGTTCCAACTCTAATCATACCTTAATCAGACGTGCCCTGCTCTTCTTGATAACCATCCCCTCTCCTTGACAACCAGTCCCCAGGTATCTAGGGACCCTCCATTCCATTATCAGTCATCTCAGCATACAAAAACAATCTCCTGGAGATTGTAAGGGTCTTAGAAACTCTTGTGTCAGGAACCAGGGACTAGGACCAAATGTAACAGTAATATTTTAACAGTTTTTCTGTCACTCAAGAAATTATAAGGGTTTTAGGAATTCTATCAGGAGCAAGGGTAGAGATCAAATATATATTTCTTATTATGTTGCATGTACTAAGACTAGAAAAAGAAAAATTGAAAAGTTATTTTGGCCGGACTTGGTGGCTCAACCTGTAATCGCAGCACTTTGGGAGGCCGAGGCCAGAGGATTGCCTGAGCGCGTGACCAGCCTGAGCAACATGGTGAGACCCCGTCTCTAAATCAAAAATTAGCCAGGCATAGTAGGTAGCACTCGCCTGTAGTTCTGGCTACTTGGAAGGCTGAGGCGGAAGGATCATTGGAGCTCAGATCATTCTGGCTGCAGTGGCCAGAGGCATGCCTTGTCCAGCTTGGGCGACAGAGTGAGACTCCAACTCAAAAAAAAAAAAAAAAGGAAAAGTTATCTTATCAGAAACACCATTCCATAAATCTTAGTCTATCACAAATTGGCTGAAGTATCAAAGAAGTACAACTTTTACTAGATTTTAATTCTGTTAGATATTGTTAACAGTTTTAATAAACTTAATTTTTGTGTCACCATCATGATTTGGAAACTTAAGAGTTTTGAATCTCTGAAACTACAGTCTAGAATCACCAGTCTATTTTAAATAAAACTTTTGTTATTAAAAAGTATTCTTAGCCAGGCGCAGTGACTCAAACCTGTAATCCTAGCACTTTGGGAGACTGAGGTGAGAAAATTGCCTGAACCCACAGGTTCAAGACCAGTCTGGGCAACTTCTTGAGACCTCATCTCTACAATAATTCATAAAAATCAGCCGGGTATGCTAGCGCACGCCTGTAGTTCCAGCTACTTGGAAGGCTGAGACAAAAGGATTGCCTGAGCCCAGCAGGTCGATGCTGGGATGGCCGTGAGCATGCCACTGCACTCCAGCCTGGGTGACAGAGTGCTGCTCCAACTCAAAAAAAAAAGTGTTCTCAATTTCAGTACCTAAAATATAGCTTGATGAGGTAAGAAGAAAACAATCTCCTTTTCACAGTATCCTTCTATAACACTTGGAATTGTAGGGGAGGAAAAACTTTTTCTCTGTTTCAGTGGCTGGGGCTAGAGCTGTGAATTAGACTGACAAAAGATAGATCAACAGGAGAAAAAAAATACAAGTGTGTTAACTTTTAATTTTATGTGCAGGGAAGCATCACAGAAAGAATGAATACCCAAATCAGTGTGAGATTTGAGAGCATATTTTACAAAACATCGGGAGGGGTAGAAGAGTACTTCTGGAAAAATAAATGACTTTTTAGAAGGAAAAGCAGAAAGAACACTTACTTAAGGAAGCGCAGATAACTTTTGAGAGATAAATGGGTTCCAGGAGAATAAGTGGGAATGATAATTTATAACAATGTCAGGGTGTGGTACTGACTTTCTCTTCTCTCTTGTGATGAGTTAAACTTTCCTGTTTAATGAAACTTTCCAACTTCCAAGGAGGAGACTTACGCCAGTTAAGCTTATTTTGGAGGACTTGCTTTTAGCCAGATAAGAGAAATTCAGAGAAAACCACTTCTTCCATTTGTTAATTCCCAGATGTCTTCATCTTAAAATAATCTTTATGCCACTGTGGCACATTGGGACAATCTTTAAGGGATTATTTTATTATGCAAGAGAGGAGCTGTTACCAAGAGACATGGTAACAAATTACTGTTTCTAAATAACATTTTTTTTTCTTTTTGAAACAACTTGTTTGCCACTAAAAGTAAGTTGGCAGCCGGGCTCGGTGGCTCAGCCTGTAATCCCGCGCCTTTGGGAGGCTGAGGTGAGTGGATTGCCTGAGCCCGTGGGTTCGAGACCCGCCTGGGCAGGCGAGACCTCATCTCTACAGTAAATCAAAAAATCAGCCAGGCATGGTAGCGCATGCTTGTAATTCTGGCTACTTGAAAGGCTGAGGTGGAAGGATCGCCAGAGCCCAGCAGGTTGAGGCTGCGGTGGCTGGGAGCGGCCACTGCACTCCAGTCTGGGCGACAGAGTGAGACTCCAACTCAAAAAAAAAAACAAAAACCAAAAACAAAAACAAAAGTAAGTTGGTCTTTGTTTTGAGTCTTTTAAGGTAATAATTTCATCGATGGAAATGCTGATTATTGTAATTTCATATTCGTATGTAGTTTGTTCATCTGAAGTATAACAGATTTATCAAAACTAAGGTATACTTATTTACCAGTGGTGAAGAAATGTTTTTTTAAGTAAGTAATTGGGGACAGTTTATGTAATTGACACTTTTGGCAAATATAAGGATTAAAAACTTTCTAATAATAAAGTTTTATCTTTCCATTTATCTTAAAAAGAATTTTGAGTCTGAGAGAAACAAAAGGATTTAGTGATGAGATCAAAATAAGCCATTCTGAATCCAGCCTAGATTCCCCAGGCTGTGATCAAAACACTAATTACGTTTATTTTCTTTATATATAGCTGCCAATATTTACTAGATCCTCATTAAATTATTGGTTTAGTGTTTTCTTGAGAGGAATTACTTTTCTTTTACCTAATTACTAATTTTAAATCTCCATGTTTTTCAGTAAGTCTTATGTGCAGCTATGCTTATATACATTTGTTTTGTTCGTGTTCATTAATATAGACTTGTGTGACTCTTGCAAAGAAATTAGCTGGGGGGAAAGTCAGAAATTCTTAATTTGTTAAACTTACCTTTTTTTTTTTTTTTTTGAGTCAGAGTTTCACTCTGTCACCCAGGCTGGAGTGCATTGGCATGCTTATGGCCATCTCATCCTCAACCAGCTGGGCTCAGGCAATCCCTCTGCTTCAGCCTTCCAAGTAGCTGGAAGTACAGGCACATGCCACCAGGCTTGGCTAATTTTTTTTTTCTTAATTTATTGTAGAGTTGGGGTCTCCCCAAGTTGCCCAGGCTGGTCTCCAGCCCATGGGCTCAGACAATCCTCTTGCCTCCACGTCCCAAAGTGCTGGGATTACAGGCATGAGTCACCTCACCCAGCCGTTTACCTAGTTATATATGTAACTGTCAACGTTACTTAATTTCTAATCAGTTATATAGCTGTCAACATAAAACAGTCAAAAGAGTGAGAACCTAATGTAAGGAGAGTTTATTCAAACACAGAATGCAAGGGTGGCCATCCAGGGGACAGAGCTACACCAAAGAATGGTGGTCAGTGCTCCTGATGTGGGAAAAGTGAGGATCTTTAAATAGGCAGAACAGAGGTGTTGAATAGAATTATAGCATTTTTCAGACAAAGGCATACATACAAATATTAGTTTTGATTGCCTACTATTGATTACATTCTCGGTGAGTTGTTTAATATTCTACTATAAAGAGATAACAGTCAGAAGGTCTGTTTCTCCTTTAGTCTAGGTTTGAATAAAGGCTCAGAGTCTTGGCTCGTGTGGTGGCTCACATCTGTAATCCTAGCACTTTGGGAGGCTGAGGTGGGAGGATAGCTTGAACCTAGGAGTTCAAGGTTACAGTAAGATATGATTGCACCACTGCATTCTAGCCTGAGCGACAGAGACCCTGTCTCTACAAAAGAATAGGGAGTCTGGTTCATATATAACATCTCAACACAAAAGTCAGAAAGCAATGTTCATACACCAAAGAAAAAATTAGTTATGTACATGAGTCAGGTTTCAAGGATTGACTGTTTTCCTTTGGTGTAATAAATTTGGAAGAACATAGAATTTTTTTTTCAGCATAGCTCTCTTCAGCTAACAGATTTTAGACCTTCTTTCTCTACCTGGATGATTTTTAAAGAGTGATACTGGTTTTCCAGTTAGCCAAGGTGCAGCCTTGGAGTAAAATATTATTTTATTTACTTATACTGTTTTTGTTTTTGTTTTGCAAAAACTGGTCTGCACTAAAAAAGATCAATGTGATGACAGATTCTTTACTTGAATAAACTCTAGTTAGGCTCCTAAATTTTTTCCTTGGCCCATCTGAGTACACTAGTAACCCCTTACCAACCATTTCACTTTCAGTGGTTTCAGTTACCCAGGGTCAACCTCAGTCCAATATATTAAATGGAAAATTTTGGAAATAAACATTTGTAAGTTTTAAATCATGTGTTCTGAGTAGCATCATGGAACCATACCATCTAGCAAGAACACATTCACATAACTTTTATTACAGTATATTGTTATAATTGTTCTGTTTTATTATTATTAACCTCTTGCTCTGTTTAATTGATAAATTAAGCTTTATCATAGTTATACACTTGCAGAAAAAATATAGTGTGTATGTGTATAGAAGGTTGGTTATCTGAGGTTTCACTCATCTACAGGGGTCTTGGAACATACTCCTTGAGTATTAGAAGGAACTACTGTACTTCTTTGTAAAATCTAGTTTTAACAAGAACCCACTAAGTCAGTTTAGCAGGAACCCCCCCAGTATCTGATCAATCTTGATATTTGATCAGATTCCTCATCCTCCAGTGTCCCCAGGTGATGTCTGTTCACCCTGGCTGGCCTGTCTTCAGCAAGAGTTTCATTAGGTCAGTTTAGCCAGATCCCCCTTTCTCAGTGATGTTTCCTCTTAGTAATTTTTCCATTCACTTCCCCCCCACCCTGCTCCAAATGAGCCCACTCTCCCTTTTTCACTGCAAAATTGCATTTTGTGATGGTCCTAAGTAAAGTCTGCCTTCAACATGCTTTATTTATGTATTTGCTTGTTTATTTATTTATTTGAGTCAGAGTCTCACTGTTACCCAGACTGGAATGCAGTGGCATGCTCCTGGCTACTGCAGCCTCAACCTGCTAGGCTCAGGTGATCTTCGGCCTCAACCTTCCAAGTAGCTAGAACCACAGGTGTGTGCCACCACGCCTGGCTAATTTTTTTATTTATTGTAGAGACAAAGTCTTACCTCTATTAAAAAAAAAGCACAAAAAGTGCATGAGGGAAGTTGGAATGTGTAAACAAAGTTGATATATAACTATGATATGTAACCTATTTCACATATACACTTTTCAAAAAAATCAAGAAATCTTTACATTTTTATTAAATATTTGTAGTCATATTATAGGGTAGTAGATGAAATAGAAAAAGAAACAAGAAATGAGATAAAATCAAGTGTAAAATAATATATGAAGAAATATGAAAATACAGATAGAAGGATCAAAATGGAAAGCAGCCTCAACGCCCCCCTTCCCAAATAATTATAGAAAAATAGGAAAACAAAAAATACATAAACTTTCCATTTCTGACCTTTTATATAGTCTTGAAGAATTGTGTATTTTTCTATAAAATACAGGCAGTTGTAGGGATATTTGATGTTCACTTAAAAGATTAGCTAAAATTCAGATCAAGTTCGAGGCAAACTAGAGTTCTTGGGTTAAAAAAAAATTTTTTTTTTGAGTTAAAGTCTCACTCTGTCACCCAGGCTGGAGTGAATTGGCACAATTACAGCCATCACAGCTTCCTCCTGGGCTTCAGGCGATCCTTCTGCCTCAGCCTTCCAAGTAGCCGGGACTACTGGTGTGCACCACCACACCCGGCTAATTTTTTTGATTTATTGTAGACACAAGGTCTTGCCATGTTGCCCAGGCTGGTCTCGAACTCCTAAGCTCAGGAAATCCTCTTGCCTAGGCCTCCCAAAGTGCTGGAATTACAGGTATGAGCTACCAGCACCTGGCAAAAATCTTTTCTGTTCTAAATGTTTTGTTTTTGCTTTTTGAAAGTATTGACACCAAATCTTTTGGATCAATCTTGAAATCTAAATATGTTTGCAAATCTTAGGGCTTCATACAGTCAAGTCAGTGAGTGTATCGTTTGTGTATTATAATGAATGACTTTTAACTTGGTGTACTTGTTGCTCAATTTTATGTTTTTTTTGTGTGTAGATCATACACCTGTGACTCAGAATGAACAGGAAAGCAAGTCAAACGCATTTCCCTCTACATCACATGAAAACTCCTTTCCAGAAGACTGTACATTTCTGTACGTATACAAATTATTTATGTTGTTAATGCTTTTGCTCCAGAAAGAGATTTGCTCTGTATAAATTAATTGGTATCAGAATAGATAAAATATATTTAAAATATTTTTTCCCATTAAAGCTTTAAAAGTTGTACATTTTAGTATTTTATGTAGAATAAAGTTTTATGAGTCCCTTAATAGGTTATTTATTTGCTATCCTTAGCTAATCAAGTCTCTTTATAAGATTTAGCTTAAAATATCTTGGTGTATTTTATTAATACATTAATATCTACTACCGAGTTGTGTTTTTTTTTTTTCTTTTTTAAAATTTTTGGATTATTTGGAGTTTTTTGTTTTTTTGAGTTGGAGTCTCACTACATCACCCAGGCCGGAGTACAGTGGCACACTCACAGCCACCCCAGCATCACTCTGCTAGGGTCAGGTGATCCTTCCACCTCAGCCTTCCAGATATCTGGAACTACAGGCGCATGCTACCATGCCTAGCTAATTTTTTATTTAATGTAGAGATGAGGTTTCATCAAGTTGCCCAGACTATTCTCAAATCCGTGGACTCAGGCAATTCCCTCACCTCAGCCTCCCAAAGTGCTGGGATTACAGGCTTGAGCCACAGCACTCAGCCTTCTTTATTTTTTTTTACGGGAATGGGGGGGTCAGAGTCACTCTGTTGTCCAGGCTGGAGTGCGGTGGCACACTCATGGCCACCGCAGCCTCAACCTGCTGGGCTCAGGTGATCCTTCCACCACAGCCTTCCAAGTAGCTGGAACTACAGGCATGTGCCACCACACCCGGCTAATTTTTTGATTTTTGTAGAAACAAGGTCTCACCAAGTTGCCTAGGTTGGTCTCAAACCCCTGCACTCAGGCATTCCTCTCACCTCGGCCTTCCAAAGTGCTGGGATTACAGACTTGAGCCACTGCACCAGACTATTTGGAGATTTTAAAAGGGTCAGAGTGTTTCTCTCCTGCTGGGCTTATGTAATCCTTCTGCCTCATCCTTCCAAGTAGCTGGGCCTACTGGTGCGTACCACTAACACAGTTCAGTTTTTAAAATGCATAATGTCTCTAAAGTAGTACAAAAAGCTTATAGGACTAGGCTAAATTTTTCTGACCTTTTCTTTTTCCTTTTACTATTACTTTCAATAAATATTCCTCAGTATAAAGGAGAATTGTACAAGGGGGAATCATACTCTGACAATTTGTCTTTCTTTATCTTTAGTAGATATTGCCTGTACCAAAACCAACAAATACTAATTTAAGGGAAGCTTCTGAAAGTATTTTGTGCTAGAGCAGGGAACATAGTGTCAAAAAATAAAAAAAATATTCTTGGAAAGGAAGTTCTTAAATTGTCCTTGTTTTATTTGTTCTGTAAACTCAATATTGACAAATCAATATAGAATCTTTTTTCATTTTAGTGTCTATGAGAGTTGATAGACACAATTTCACATGATTTGTATTTATAAATATTTGAGATGTCATTGTGATTTGAATGACTCTAAAAGACCCATTTAGCATGTTTTAAAATACTCTCAGGAAAAGCTAAGTGTACACTTTTGTAACTTCTTGACTGCCCTTTTCAGTAGCTAACAAAACATTTTTTTCCTAGAAATTCTTACCTTCTAATATACAGTGTAGAATTTCATTGATTTTTTAAAAATGGATTGTCAGTCTTAATCACCAAAATATAAGGCTCATTTTCATATAAATTACCACCAAACAAACTCTCTCACCAAATAATTGTCTATATATTTAGACAATTATGTTTTAGACCTAAATCCATGTTAAGCATCACTTTTTAGTTTCAGTTTGTTATGCTAGCTTATCAAAATCTTTTTGAAGTTTGGAGCTCTTGTCTGTAATATTTTTGTCCTTTTTAGTTTATCATCTTGTACAAATAAAATAAGCTTTCTAATCTTTATTATGGTCACTGAAAATATTGACCAGGATGTGACCAAGGACCTGTAGCTGACTCATTACTAGATAACCTCTTCATCACATTTCAGGAAGAACTATTCCACGAAATGGGAATACTTAGTTTCACTATTATCCCACCTTTATTTCTGTCTTCCAAGGTTGTCATGACAAAGTTTCACGGATACAGCATTCTGTAGTATTACCAAACTTTATTAAAAACCTTATTAGATGCTGGGCATGGTGGCTAATGTATATAATCCCAGCACTTTGGGAGGCTGAGGTAAGAGGATTGCCTGAGCCCATAGTTTGAGATCAGCCTGGGCAACTTGGCGAGACCTCATCTCTACAATAAAACAAAAAATTAGCTGGGTGTAGTAGTGCATGCCTGTGGTTCCAGCTACTTGGAAGACTGAGGTGGAAGGATCTACCTGAAGCCAGCAGGTCGAGGCTGCAGTGACTGTGAGCGTGTCCCTGCACTGTCCTGAGTGACAGAGTGAACTACAACTCAAAAAAACGACAAAAATTAAAAACCTTATTAGGAAACCTTATCAAAAAGGAAAATTCAGTAAATTTGGACTTTAGTTGTTGACACAGCACCTAGTGTGGCTTTTTAAATTCTAAGTATTTAGAAATCACACACTTAGGGCTGGGCACGGTGGCTTATGCCTATAAGTCCATCACTTTGGGAGGCTGAGGTGAGAGGATTGCCTGAACCCATGGGTTCAAGCCCAGCCGGGGCAACTTGATGAGACCTCCTCTCTACAGTAAATCAAAAAATTAGCTGGGCATGATGGCGCTTGCCTATAGTTCCAGCTACTTGGAAGGCTGAGGTGAAAGGATCACCTGAGCTCTGCAAGTCAAGGCTGCGGTGGCCATGAGCATGCTACTGCACTCCAGCCTGGGGGGCAGAGTGAGACTCCAACTCAAACAAACAAATAAATTATAAATTCTAGGTATTCTGAAGTCACATACTTAAGACTGGGTGCAGTGACTCAAGCCTGTAATCCCAGCACTTTGGGAGGCGGAAGTGAGAAAACTACCTGAATCCATGGGTTCAAGACCAGCCTGGGCAACTTGATGAGACCTCATCTCTACAATAAATCAAAAAATTAGCTGGGCATGGTGGCACGTGCCTGTGGTTCCAGCTACTTAGAAGGGTGATGCGGAAGGATTGCCTAGAGCCCAACAGGTCGAAGCTGTAGTAGCCGTGAGCGTACCAGTGCACTCCAGCCTGGGTGACAGAGTGAGACTCCAACTCAAAAAAAATTTTTTTTTAAATCATACACTTGATGCTCTCTTCTAGAAATTTCTAAGAGATCAGTTTGAAGCTAATCATTCTGTATTTTCAGGAGTCTGCCCTTCTTTCCTTTTTAAAAGAAATCAGGGTAGCATTGTTTTATTTTTAATTCCTACATAAAGTTTTTTTCAAGACCTTGAGATATAATTTGTTCAGGCATAGAGTCTTATATATGTTTAAATAAACGTGAGCTCTGGTAGCCTCTTTTTAGCTGTTATAGACTTCAGTTTCTTCTATTCTTTTTTTTTTTTCTATTTCCAACTTGAGGGCTGTACTTTTTAGATGGAAAAGACAAAGGCAAAATTGTTTTTGAGACACTCTAACTTCTCTTTGTTATCAGTTAGCTTTATGCCATTTTTCCCCTCACAGATTATTTTCTTGTTCTAAGCATATCTTAAAATTTTTTGTTGTCACATTAGCATGTTTGGAAACTTCAGTTCTTACCAGGCTTGAGTCTTTTTGACACTTCTCTTGCAGTTTCACACCAATATATGTAATTTTTTTAGTTGGAGTCTCACTCTATTGCCCAGGCTGGAGTGCATTGGCAAGCTCATGGCATCACAGCTTCGACCTGCTGGGCTCAGGCAATCCTTCCCTATCAGCTTTCCAAGTAGCTGGACCTACAGACACATGTCACCATGTCTGACTAATTTTTTGGTTCATTGTAGAGGCGAGGTCTCGCCAACTTGCCCAGGCTGGTCTCGAGCCCATGGGTTCAGGCAGTCCTGTCAGCCTCCCAAACTGCTGGGATCATAGGTGTAAGCCACTGCACCTGGCCTCACACCAATATTTTAAATTATGAATTGTGTTTATTATTAGTTGTCTTTTGTACATATTCTTTTCAAAATCTGAACTTTCCAGAAAAATTGAATTGGGCTTTCTATCTGCTTTCCATCTCATTAGCAGTATTTGGGATTATACAATCAGAATTTCATTTCCTTAGGAATCTCCCATCCCTCCTTTGCTGAACTCCGACACTGAGACTTTGTCCATGAAATCATACCTAATTCTGAGTTTAATTTTTTGAGATCTTTTCAGATGAAGGGGCATGTCTTACTAGGCTCAGGATTTTCTTCCTTTGCCATTAAGAATTCCAAGGAGGCCGGGCATTGTAGCTCACGCCTATAATTCCAGCACTTTGGGAGGCTGAGGTAAGAGGATTGCCCACGGGTTAGAAAGTGGCATAGGCAACTTGATAAGACCTCATCTCTACAATAAATCAAAAAAAAAAAAAAAAAAAAAATTAGCCGGACATGGTGACACATGCCTGTAGTTATAGCTACTTGGAAGGCTGAGGCAGAAGGATCACTTGAGACCAGCAGGTTGAGGCTATGGTGGCCGTGAGCATGCCTCTGCACTCCAGCCTGGGAGACATAGTGAGACTCCAACTGAAAAAAAAAAAAAAAAAAAGAATTCCAAAGAAACATTTCATTCTTGACCAGAATAGTGTTTAAATAACTCCTTTGGTATTTCCTCTGCAGATCACAAGGTTATTGCTTATTTTACTTTCAGTAGTTATACCTTCTAGTAGACTGCTGGTCCCATAGGCTGACTGGTAAACTATATAGTCAAACACTTAAGCTGGGACTTTTGAACCCAGCTTAATTGCTCAAGATTATACAAATTGTTAATGGCAAAATTTGGTATGAAAATCTTAGGTCTAATGGGAAACAGGCTTTTCATTTGACCAGAATTGATTTCCACTCCATGTGAGTTATGATATAGGTAAATATAAATCCAGAAATTTTACTTGAGTAATTTTTTTTTTTTGAGTTGGAATCTCACTCTGTCAC